TTCTATGCTTCTCATGTTTGCACATAAGTCCAAAAATCTCACCATATACAACCTTGAAGCAGGACAGTCCCACAATATTCCTTTTCCTGTCTCTTGCTTAATGCATTTTTTTTTAAATTTGGAAGGGTCTACAGAGTGTTCAGGGTCTCACTACTAGATCCGACTCTTAGTGATCCGCCTGTTTACAGCCTACCAAGAGCTGGGATTACAGACGCACTTCACAACGTCCAGTCTCAATTGCTGTCTCAGAGTGCCCCGGGGACGGGGCCGACTTAGCAAGGTCAGGGATTGAACCCTCAGCCCTGCAGTGTTTTTTAATGTAATTGTTTTTTAAAAAATTTAGCATTTCCATCACACCTCATATGTCCGGTTCTTCACCTGGGGTGTTCCACAGTGCCTTACCACACCTTTTCTCACTAACATTCTCTAACTCTGTGGCATTTGTGGACCGTTTTCCCCAAGGAGTAGCTGCCGGCCTCTCTTCAGAGCTGCCTCAAAGCCCTTTCCTTCTCCAGGCCTAACTCTCCCACTCGAAGATCACAAGCCTTCCTGCTGCCTACCATTTGACCCGAACAGTAATCCAAGATGCAAAATACAGCTGTCCCTCACTTAGTGCGGAGGTTATGTCCCAGGCAGCCCCATGATAAGCGAAAGTCAGCAAAGTAGCAATGTTTTATGCTTTATGAATCCTTCCCACACTCTTGTAAGCCCTTCCCACACTTTAAAAAACACTTTTAATGTTCTTAGCCATTTTCTAGATTCATAAGCCTACGTAATTTTTAACAATATAGTTACACTGTATGGTACTGCAAAATCCTGCCATGTAGCAAAAAATCTGCAATAAGTAATTTACATCAATATTTTTTGAAAACCTGCAAAACAGTGAATTTGCAAAAGTCAAGCTGCGGGATGGCGAGGGACTACTGTATGCTGCAGCCAGAACCCCAAGAGGGTCCACTTGCACCTGCTTTGCTATGGGGAGACATTGAGCTTTCAGGGCACTGTGATCGCCCTGGCACTGAATTTCTAAACATTTTCTGGAGGTGGCAGGTCCTGAAGTTTTGCAAGGTTATTTGCCTCTGCATAGCATGTGTGTGGCCTGCAGTGCAAATCTACCTGTCGTTCTTCCAGCCTGATCCACACACAGGACGCCGCTGATGCATTTGGCCATGGTGTGGTTTTTATCCGGCTGACCCTGCCGTGGCAAATAGCAGAGAGTTGGGGTGGTAGCTCTGAGATAAGCCTTTAAATATATACATTCTGTTGTTTATTTCATGTGAGTGTGAACAGATATTTACCCTCTTTCACAACAGTGGCAGAAATGAAAGCCTCCACCGCATCCGTGGCCACCTACCACATGCTGAAGGCAAAGCTGCCACAGCAAGCAGGGCCACTGCCCCCGGGGTTGGACTGCAGTGGTCTAGAGACATTCTCTAGGATTCGCTAGGTCCTGTGTATTCTTAAGCATTATGAAAATTGCTTACAGGGCTGGGGAGATAGCTGTGTGGTCTAAGTGTCTGCCTGCTAAGCACAAAAATCTGGATCCCATCCATTGTACCATATTTCATGCCAGCCTGGAACCCCAGGCACGCTGTGCTGGTCACTGAAACATGGTGTGGTGGTGCACACCTGTAGCCCCAGAACCAGGGAGGTCAAAACAGGAGGATCACTAGGAGTCTGAGTTGCTTAGCGAGAGCCTGTATCAAGTGAATAAATAAATAAGAAAGGAAAGAAAATATTGCTTACATTTGCAATAGCCTAGGAATACAGTTTTGCTTTGTATTTGTTATGCAGGTTAAAGAGGATTAGTTTCAGAGGCCTCTACGTCACCTTTTCCACTCTGGTGACTCTTGTCCTATGGAACAAGGTGTCAACTGCCAAGAACATTCTCAACTGTACATTTGGGGAGCATGCAGGTCAGGGTGTGTGTGACCTATGCCAGATGCATTAAAGGTTGAATTGATGGCTGGGCAGAGTGGTGCACAATGACCCCACCTGCTCAGGAGGCAGGGGAATTACAAGTTTGAGAGCAGCCTAGGCAGCATAGTGAAATCCTGTCTCAAAATAAAATTGAAAGTAAGAGAGAGCTGGGGCTGTAACTCAGTACCCCCTGGGTTCAATACACAGTATTAAGAAAGGACAGATTGTATTTGTTACATGGCTTCCAGTGCCCTCTCCCTAACACAGAACAAAGCCTGACAGTGCTTCAAGTATTGGGTATTGATGTCAACTCTGATTCTGTGTCCAGGCATTCTTTTCTTTTCCTTAGGGAAAGTGTGAACAGAGTCCCCCACTACCACAAATTATGCATTTGAGTTTCTCATATTGGGGGAAATCAGAGGGGTCAGCCCATCTGGAGTACAAGGTATAAGCCTCGCCCTGGGAACCCCACCTGCACAATCATAGTATCTCCCCTGCCAGATGAATGTATGTCCTGTCATTCTTGAGATGTCCAGGATTATATTTCCTTCAGTTACTCATGGCAATGGCTGTGGGCTCCTCTGCAAGACAGGAGAAGCACTGCTGTGTGTGCCTGGCACTCTTGCATGTTGTGAGATTCTTTATTTGGGTGACATTGTTGTCACTTCAGACAGGGGTTTCCAGGTCTAAAAAGTAGCACAGATCTGAATTTGGAAAAGGGATTCCTGTTGTGTTCTGGGGGTGATTGTCTTCAGCCAGTGGCTGGATCACCCTTTACAAATGTTATTTTTCTTTTGTAAATTGAGTAGGACTCCTGCAATTATCCACCTTTTCTGTTCTGCAGTCTCCATAGTTTGTGCAGCGGGTCCCCTTGGCTGCCACCAACCCTGACAGTCCTTGTGAGGCCCCCAGCTTTTGGAGGTTGAATCTCTTGTATTGGCTTCCTATCATCTGCTTGTTACTGATGGCCTTAGTACTGTGGCAGGCCTTCCTACTGCCCAAGATCTATCTTTGTCACTATCTCTGGCACATTCCTATGGCCTTGATGTGAGCTGTGTCACTGGAGTCCCCAGTGAAGATGAATCACCTGGAGGGGCTTCTGGCTCTGCGCAGTTAATCCATTTCACCAAACACACTTTCCTGAGGCTAAACTTCTTCCTCCACCATCTGCCTGTGCGATTCTGTCCTTTTGACATGAGCTGTGGCTGCTTCCACGCCTCCAGGAGCCATGCCAGTCATGAATCAGCTCTTCCTGGGTCCCTGCCAAGGTGTTCAATTCTGTCTCTTTAGACTGCATCCTTGAGTCCACAAATCCTTCCTCCCCTGTTTTGTGTTCTGCTCCCCTTAATCAAGCATTCAAAGAACCAGCCCCACGAGTACTTAACTGGCTAGCATATGCTGGCTTAGCTCCCCAGCATGTCTAGGGCAGAGTTCTTTCCTCACTCGTTAGGCCAGCACATCCTTATGTAAGTTTTGCTAAGATTTAAACACATTATAAAGATAGTGGCCGGAAGGACCACTCACTGGTTCTCTGTGCACTGCAATCTCTGTAGGTCCTTCCTGGATTCCAGGACTCATTAGAGTCTGGCTCTCTCTTTCCACGAGACTCTTGGCATCCTCTCCTGAAGCTCTGTTATGCTATACTGTTTTTCCCACTGGGTTGTGAGCACTTTGAGCTGGTGGTGAGCAACCTCTGCAGCACCCACCTATGTACTCTACATGCTTAGGTCCATGCTTGCTACAGATGCTTAAAGATGCGTGGCATGGACAGGCCTCTTGCGTGAATGGCGTGCACTGGTGGTTCTTCATGGGCCAGGCCCTGTTTCAACTCTTACTTAATGCAGTGATTTATTTAATCCTTGCTTTTAATCCTCTGAGATATGCAGATAGAGTAGCATATCCTTCCACCATATTCCCAGGCGTCTAACCTATTTTGTTGCCATAACAATTATTGCATGCATACCTCCAATTATTGTCTGCCTTTGACTAGGAGTTCCCTATAAGCAGGAATCACAGAAATGTAATATTTGTTTTGTGTGTGTATTCAGGACCGCGTGAGTGAATAAATTAATTCCCAGAGATTGACTAGAGGAGATTAAGCACTTTGTAATTTCAATCTGTTTTGTTACAGGCGTATTGCAGTATATATTCTTCTTAATTCATGCATGCTGCTTAAGACAGGTCAGGCCTTTTAATTTGAAGTTCAAAAAAAATTATTGCACTCACCTCTATAATCATCTGTGACTAGTAAACAGGCAATAGATTTTATGGAGCAGTATATGCAGAACTTTATTTTGCACAAGGAACGTGCCTCTTTTATATATACCCCCCCTCTTCCTGCAAATGCAAATCAATTTTTTATGTCTGTCAAACACCAGCACTCATTCCAGTGATTAACAGCCCAGTGTTAATGTGATGAAGGAAATTAATTTTAGATGTGTTTGGAGTTTAGAAGTAATTTGTGTAAAAATAAGATCCTGCTGTGATTCAACTATTTCCTACCACTCTGAAATATGCTGCCCTGGAAAATGCGTTATTGGCACATTTATCATAGATCACAGCTCATTATTTCGAGGGCTGACAAGTGTCTCATTGCACATTTATTAGGGGACTGAGCCTTAATCATATCTGTGGTTTTAAGAGTTCCTGTCCGATTAGATTTGTGACTTTTTTTTTACAGAAGAATCTTAAAAGGGAAAAATCTCCCAGACCTGGACCTGAAAGGATGATAATTTTATAGAGTATTTAAAAAGAGTTATAAGGACTCACCTACATAAAAAAATGGCTCCTATTTTATTTTTTATGTTCTGATGAGCAAATTCATTTTTTAAATTCTATTCAGTAGTTCTAAGCTGTTATAGTCTCAGTTTATAAAGCTTCCTGCCTTCTGGAAACTACATAAGCTTAGTTTTATTTTTCATTTTTTCCTTTAGAAAAATTTCATAAGACCAAAGAGGTGAACCAATATCAATAACAGCAACAACAATAATAATAATCATAGTTTAGAAATACAAAAAAAACCTATAAACCCAAAACGAGTCACAAATGTTGTGTCTTAAACATTTTTTTCAACAAATATTTTAGATTGTATTATGTGACCTGCTATGGTTTTGAACACATTGGCTATATCAGTGAAGAAAGCAACTGCAATTATTTGCCCTTAAAAATGGGCAAATTGGAGAAAACCTCAAAGAATAAGCACAGTGCATGTTCAAACTGTGAGGTGTGTCACAGATGCTAAATGGAATAGGGGAAATGAACTAAGGGTAGAAGGGTCTGGAGGGCTGGAGAAGGTCTGCAGCGCTAGCGAGATGGTGACATTTATCTATGTATGTATGCAAGAATTTATTTATTTACCAGCTCCAGATCTGGCACAGCATGCAGTGCTGGGGATCGAACCGCAGTCCCCTGCTTAAGCTTGCCTAAGCTAGAGCTTTAGACTGCCGAGCTATCTCTCTGGCCCAAGGGATTCTGATATTTGAGGAAGACTGAGAGTAGGACTGAGGATACCTGCGGGAGAAGCAGTCTTGGCCTGGAGAGAAGCTGGGTCCGAGGCCCTCTTTGGGTCTGTGCCTGGAATTCAGGAGGCCAGCTTGGGGGGGGCAGAGTTACCAAGGAGAAGAGTTATGGGGTGTGGGGATGGGGCACTCAGGGAAAAGCCCATGGAGCCAGATTATGGAGAATATTGTGAACTGTTAAAGGACATTTTAGCTTTTAGTCTGAGAAAAATATGGGACCCCTATGGATCTGGAGAAGAAGAAAGTCACAAGGACTATACCTGGTAGCCAAGAGATGCAGTAATTCAGGGTAGAGATGACAGTGGTTGAGATCAACATAATGTAGCTGGCATTATCACCAGCAGCCAAATTTTAGATCATAATTTGAAGGGGAAAGTGGGAATTTTCTGATATGAAAGAAAGGAAGAAATCAGGATGAAGCCATGGTTTGGGGCCAGAGAAGGTAGTGGCAAGGGGTGAACGTTAGCTGAGACAGGTGAGAGTATGGGCCGCAGAAGGTGGGGGCGGTGGCCGAGCTCTGGAGCCAAGATCTGAGCACACTGAGTAGTGGCACTTCTTGCATGTTCAAGTGATAGTGCTACAGAATACTTCAAACAGAAAGTACGTCTCCAGAAATTCTAAGTGTATGAACAGTAACCAAATCTCTGGTCTGGCAGAAACCACCTGTGCAGTGAGCACCGTCTACAGAGAGGAAGCCAAAAGCTTGCTTCCTTGGCATTCACAGCACTTACACTGAGTGAATCTGACTGTATGGACAGCGTCAAGAATGCGGATTCATCTGGAGGGCTGGCAAAGTGCCAGTTTTTTAAGACACTTTTTAATTCATTGATAAATAAGAAAAGAGAAAGGATAAGGAGCAGTAATTGACTCTATCACTGGCTGCTTCTTCCAATGAAGGCTCCATGACAGACTCAAGAGATGAAGGGCTGGGCTGGGGTTACCATCCCTTTACCTCCTATCTATCCGCCCTACTCTGGGCTTGGGAGACCTGTCAGTTCCTTGCACTCCAGGTCCCAAATGGGTTTTGCTAAGGGAAGTCACCCACAGGAGGCTGCACAGAGGGACACGGGAGGCTGGAGGACTGGTATTTCTACCACAGCACAGACTAGGTAATGCCTGTGCCTTTCTATGACTGCAGTGTCTATTGAGACATGACTTCTTATTGCCCTTGTACCATTTTTCCTTCCACCCTAGGGACAATGTTGACTTCTTCTGCACATAGTCCTTGGGGACCTCCTTTGTACCTCTTGGGACATAGTTAAGCAAGCTAATAAATGCACTCCTGCTACCTCTGGTTCTTTTCTTCTCTTAGTGTTTTCCCACTTACTAACCTTACAGAAGATCCAGGAGAAATATCTAGAGAACTGCACATTAGAAAATATCAACAAAGTATGACTTTTATTATTTTATATAAAAGTACAAAGGCTGTATATAAATCATATTTATTATTTGAACTCAGCAATAAGTGCCATCAAGTTATACATGTTCTGATGTTCTGAGGAACAGAAATGTGTTATGAATCTCTCTCCAAACTAGCCTCCCAGATTACAAATTTATGGGGAAGAAATTATAGAATGGTGTTCTGCTGCATTACTCAACAGTCCAGTCCAGTAGACAAGGAGTCTGTAACCACCAGTCTTTTATTCATTCGGTAGACCTTTGTTGAATACCCTTAACATGCTAGTCAAAAAGAGCAATACATGATTATTGCCCTAAAGATTCTACAGTGTCAAGTGAGAGCTTTGTATACAGAGAGGTCCTCTACAATGTGATAACTGCTTTGACTAAAAGGATAACTGCTTTGATTACCACATTAGAGGGATGTATTGAAGATAATCAGAAAATGTTCCACAAGGGGTGATACTCAAGGTAATCCTGCAGGATGAGGAGGAGTCAGTTGAGCAATGGGGTAGGGGGTGGGTGGGTGGACAGAAAGAGGTTAGGACAGAACACAGAGATTAGGGACATGTTTGGAGGTCATAACCTAAAGA